CAATACATTCTCATTAATCATTTAAAGCTGCAAGCCTCATTTACACCTAGGCGTCGGGCAACCGTCACTTGCCCGTCGAAGACGGCAAACAACCCGATGTAAATAGTGAATCGTCAGATGACTGGCGATCTTCGGCAACATTATTGACGTATTTTTTTTTGCAACATCGCATAGGTATCACTCGTTTGTATAAAAACACCGTACAAGTGTGTAATGTATTCCCTGCTTTAGAAACAGTTGTTTTTTTTTTTTCGGAATTTTTGGTTATAAGGACTTGTCTACCCAAACTTGAGGACTTTTTTATGTGCTAGACAAAGAGATGAAAAAATCATTTTGGCCTAGATTTATGGCGAATTAGTAAAATTGGCATTGGCAGCACTGGGCCGTAAAGCGAACTAGTCTGCCCATTATTCCGTGTAAACGGTGAGTCAACTGCGTCGCCCTTAGAGGATGGAAAATAATTCCATAGTCTAAGGCCTAAGGCGTCGCCTGTCACCAAAAAGAGCCATTACACATACTATATAGGCACAGTGTAAAGAACTTGTCCACACATCGCCTTTGAAGTCTTGCGAAATGTCACTTTCGTCTTGACATTACATCATACCGGAGGGTTGTCACCATGTATTTTTTTATTTAGTCAGTTGGGGTGGGTTGTTAAAGTGGGGCTTTCTCACAAGCCGTTTTATATTATGTCCAGTAGTTGTAGTGTAAAGAATATAATTGAAAAAATAAAAAAATTATGTTTAAACGTTTCATTTTAAACAAAATACTCTTTTACTCAATTTTTTCCGATTAATCGGGTTTTGCGTCAATCCAAAGAAAATAATATTAATAAGCATTTACTTAACTACTTTGTTTATGTATTGTGTTAAGTCTATCAAGGATTTAATTATTAAATTCATAATCATCAACCCCGATAACAGCTAAAACGATACCCATATTGCTCTTATTTGAATAGTTGTGCCCGCCACCTTGGATTTAGAAATAAATGCCATATTCGTAATGAGCACCTCCAAATACCTCGAAAGTGATACCCATATTGCATTTATTCAAAAGTTGTGTCTGCCATCTTGGATTTAGAAATAAATGTCATTTTTGTAATGATTACCATCAAAAATTAATTTTTGAAAATTCTTGTCCACCATCTTAGATTTAGAAATTAATACCATATTCGTAATAAGCACTCCCAAACATTTCAAAAACGATATCTATAATTATTAATTTCATTTCAGAAGCCCGGTCCGCCATTTTGGACATAAAAATAAACGCCATATTTATATGTAATTAGCACCCACTAAAACACTGACAATGGTACCCATATTAATTTTAATTGAAAAAGTCATGTTCGTCATCTTGGATTAAGAAATAATACTATATTCGAATAGATAATGGGTAAAAGCAAGCAGCTTGATTTTAGTCGCGACACGTTGTAAAAGTCATTGTGCTTTTAAAATATTAGCAAAATATAATTTCATTACCTAAAACTCCAAACAAAATAAAATTATTGGAATCACGTTTCTTCTCCTTGCGTATGCGGAAACTGATGTTTGATTTTTATTTAGGCGAGATGATGATATGCATTCTCTAACAGTACAATTTGTGTGTACAATTTTCCATCCAACAAATCACTACAACAGTCACACGATATATTTATCGTAAATGACACAACCCTGAATGGTTTGTCCCGAATGGATGTAATAAGTGTATGGCAGTTCGGGTTCGTACCCGCCCCTCACTCGCTCCACACATTCGGCACGATTGATTTGTTTAGACGTGTGTCCGTAGGCCGACTGTAAGGAATAATTGGTTAGACTATAATAAAGGACCTTTATTTATTTTTAGGACATTTGTTTGTTGGAGTGTTGTTCGCCAGTAACGAGCACGACTGAATGTTTTGCACCAACTTCTCAACTGTAAAAATCACTGTAATGAGGTTGTCTGAGAGACAAGTTAACGATTGACAGGCTGCTATATTACATTACAGGTAAATTATTATATTACATTATATTACACTTTATTATTATATTAAATATGTTAATTTCAACTGATCTAAGTAACTTTCACTTAGTGTTGGGTCGTGGAAAAATGTCCATTTTGAAAAAAATAATATTATTCAGAAAAATATTCTGTTTTCCGGATATTTTTCCTTTAATTTTTCTCATTTGATGTTGACACCTGTCAAAAGTTGAAGTTACTAACGACAACGATGGAGCAAGGTTTTTCGCTGTTGTGAAATTATTTTAAATTTCGTTTTTCTGTAAGTGATTTTAGCTATACAAGTTTATTTTATTATTCACGTAAATAAAACTTCAAAAGATATTTGTAAACGTAGAACGTAATATGAACCTCCCAAATTATATATTTCCAACTTTTGAAATTTTTCAAATTTTAAAGGAATTTTTCCGGAAAAATTTTCACCATTCAAAATTTTTCGGAAATGTACCCAACAGTCCGCAAGTTTATCCAAACATCCCCATCCACACGTTTGTTGCTTGCGAGCAGAGATGGGCAAGCGCCCGGGTTTTAACCACAGACTTCCATTTTATAAGTCTGTGGTTTTAACCCGGCAGGAAAATGTGAGCAGAAACTATTTGCAACTAAATATTTTTCGCAAATCAAGTTTGTTTGTTGTATTATGTTAATTGTTGTATGTTAAATGATATTTGTTGCAAAACGTTCAATTTCATTAATTTCCTCATTCAAATTCATCTAAAAAAAGCCACGAAAAACACGATAAGACGAGTGAGTGTGTAGCTCCACCAGCTCACTCGCTCCTTTTTACCAGAGAAACGTACCCCATCACTGTTTAGTTCTAGTAATCAAGAATTTTAAAAACTGACATTTAAATAATTAAGTTTTAGTCTAGTTTTCAACAAAAAAGAATATTTATACCTATGAGAACTGATATTTAATGGCTTTAGAAATATGTGTGAAAATAAATGTTTTGGTCACTTCTGTGTGGTATTTCCTCGAAAAAACTACATTGTTTTTTATAGTCTTGTATTATACGATTGTTTTTAAATTACTTTAATTTCATTTCTCATCTCAACTGCTTTTGCAGTTAATAATGGCACAACGATTTTTCGCATTTTCGACTGGTGTTCATCTACGATAACGGTCGAGCGCGTTCTGAAGTGTAGCAGCGGCAACTGAGTGAATTCCACTTACTTTGGGCACGCGAAGTACGTACATTTGGCGCGTCTATCCAAATATATGTCTGTAGCTTTAATCCACTGCTTGCGAGGGCTTGCTTTAGGCAGGTTTGGCACCGAGGAGGGAACCGTCCCCGTCGTGCCACGAGTACGGCGCTGCAGATGACACCGCGCAGCACACCCTAGAGGTGTGCAGCCGGTGGGATGGACAGCGCCGCACTCTGACGGGGACTGTAGGGCAGGACCTCTCGCTGCCGAGCGTGGTTGCCGCCAGGCTCGGTAGCGAGGAGTCCTGAGAGGCGGTGGTCTCCTTTTGCGCAGAGGTTATATCGCAAAAGGAGGCCGCGGAGCGGGTGCGCGAGGACGCGGCAGACGCGCACCCGCTTCGGCGCAGACGTACGGGGAGAAGACGAAGTCAGTTCGCTGCTCGCCTGATCCCCTAGTGAAGCCAGCGGGCTCTGGACAGGGACTCCGGAGCCTGCATTGCACGACCGCACTCGTCTGGGGGGCGGGTCGGAGGACAACCGACTCACCCCTCCGTTGGCGCGGGAGCCCTGGCGCAAGCTAGGGCGGCCGAGCGGCGTCGTGGTGTATATTCACCGATCCCAAGGCGCCGACTCAACCGGCGAGGGGCAAACCCGGGGGGGGGGGGGTTTTGGGCGTTAGTGGGGTTTAGTGGGGTCTGGAGGGAGAGTCCTCACATAATCCCTGAGTCTCCCTGGGCTCAGGGGTATCCATAAAGATTTCCCCCGCGTCAAAAACAAAAAACAAAAGGCAGGCTTGGCAAAAAAAAAAAGGCTTGGCAAGCATGTGGACGTGTCGACGAGTCGAGTGACGTTCGTTCCTAATTTTGTCTATGGCGTTAGTGAAATCTGTCTGTCTGCACCTTAGAGGATGGAAAAAAGTCTGCACCTTATAGGATGGAACAAAATCTGCAAACTGCTTTATCTATTGAAGATTTGGCTTCGCCCCATTGACTTACAAATAAATGGACGATGGGTCTAATACAAAAACCACGAAAAAAAATGTCCCAAGTCAACCTATTTAAACGTATTGACATATAAAGGAATATAAAAAGCTAAAACGTTGGATTTAAATTGTAATGTCATTGCAGTACTGCCTAATTTTGCCTGCAACAATTGAAAGGCGCAAAAAAAACACCATATTCAGCTTCTACTGGAAACTTACCAAAATGCACCATATGTAGCTTCTAGTGAAAACTACTTGAACATAGGTATAATGGAGTAGCCTTTATTATTTATAAATAAATTTTATACGTAAATGTTGAATTTTATACAATGCCATTTATTATATTAGCTAGGGTATCTGACTTTTTTTCTTGAGTTTCGAGAATTCTCGTACCCGATTTCTCGAGTTCTTCGAGAAATTTTTAAAACCCGTACAAATTAACTATTAAAGAAAATGTGAACTTTTCGAAAGTTATTTTGGCCTGGGTGTTCTGAGTTATGCCCCGGAATAAATTCCATCGTTCTTGGTCCCAGGTTCGATTCCCAGTAGAACCAATTTGGGAAATGAACTTTTGTAAATTGGTTCTGCGCTGGGATTCTGTTGCTCTGATACTCATGGGGAGTATGTACAGAGAATTCCCTAGTTTCAAACCAGGTGATTGTGTTACAATAGAATACCAAGATCAGAACCGTTTAGAAAAGTTAATTTGTTAAATTGATCCTACCGGTATCGAACCCGGGAACTTCTCATCCAGTGCCCACACTGCAAACCATTAGGCTATCAAGGTTGTTACTATTTGTATTATAGTGCAGTGTTTTTGTTCACTCATTGATGTAATCACATACCGAAGCTTTAATGTTATGGTCTTTTATCAAGCTTGCATCAGCTCTGGTTTCCTTTCTTTTCTTACCATTTTCTTAACCCGTTCGTGCATAGTACTGAAATTATATTACGCTCAAAAACGTCACCACTTTTCTATATGCCGTAGTGCTTACCTACATTGCTTCAATACAATTATTAGAGTTTATCACTGACGACGGTTGATTCCGTCAACAGGCATGCAAATAGTGTGCATGAAAAAGTACGACTATGACGGTAGAAGGGTATTTGTCGTTGTGAGATAATTACAAAATTAAAATGTGCGATATTGATTGCGCAAGAGAAACGCTTTCTAAAATAAAACTTAGGTACTAATTAATAATAATAATTATAATAACGCACACACTCAACATTGCCCCGCATTAGGGAAACCCTGTGTCGCGGGTGCCATGGGCACACATATAGACAACCACAAATTACACCCAAACTCACGAGAGAAATAAATGTAGCCCATAGATATATTTCTCCCGAAAAACCTAAAAAAATACTTTCGTGATTATGGAAATTCATGCAAAAGTTATTTCGGGCAAACGTATTTTCGCTCTTCTGATTCGTAACCCCGAGCCGTAGAAAGAGTACAACAATATTTGAAAGTATTACTAACATGTATTAAAAATATTTTAGTAATAACATTAGCATCAAAGCGACTCTATGAAATTTTTGTTCTAAATATTTGAAACGCTTGTGTTTCAAACAATTGAAAATGACGAGATGGGTCTCGTTCAGTCTTTTACGCAAGCAATGAGTCGGAAAGAGACAGTGAGCTATTTGATTATTTTGATTGCTTTTGTAATTTATATTTACGATTAATTTAAATATAAATTAAATACTACATAAACTAGTGCATAAAATTACACTTTTAAATGATAACTATGATAACACAATTTGTACTTACTGAAAATATGATATACCACCCTGTTTTTTCACTTTAATTGAGTAATTTTTACAAGGTTTCACTATACAATACGGCATCATTGACAAGCGCGCTATCAGTCGAACAAACGAAGACTAAAGCGTGATTGACGCTCTGTATACGTTTTTAACGCCTTGTAACTTCGGACGCTTTTTAGCGCGGACCCGACGTCCATTTATTTGTAAATCAATGCTTCGCCCTAATAAAATGAAAAGTTGAAGAAAAATTGAAATCTAAGATTTGGCAGTATGGCTAGACGCCTTAGCCTGTACCGGATTACGAAAAATGTTACTACTACCACCACAAATTACTAATTGTCTGTGGCAGGAATGGCGATTTGCGATTGATAAGGAAATTTAGATTAGAAATTTGGTTGTTGTAAGCAAGAGAATTCCGTGGTATATTACTTTGTTATAAACCAGTTCCTTGCGTTTGTGGTTTGTGAACATTGGTTACATCCTAAGACGTTGCCTATTATGCTCTGAAGGTAAGTGATGACCACACTTTGTCACCTTCATTTCTGTCCTCAAAAGTATTATTTGTTGTGATATTGGAATGTTTATTATTATTTTTAGATCGGCAATTATGTCGATCTTTGATTCAGTTTTGCGAGAATCTCATTTAATATGTAAAATGTGCACTTGATGTCTCCGATGTCATAAAAGAGAAAGGCGCATTGTTCACTATTTTTCTTAAGCTGTAACCTACTTATTTTCGCGTTTGCGTCTATTTTGCGCAGTAATAATTATAGTGGAAATCACTCACGTTGTACGAGTACAATGGGAAGCAATATTTAATACGAACCCTGTTTATAAACAATAAAAAAATAGCACGTTGTGCATACTTGACTAAAATAGTGATGGATAACTTTTAACATTTGTTCCCTTACATTTTTATCGTATGTTATGCAAGCAATGAATATGCATGGTGTTTTATTAGCAAAGCCCTTTGATGTTGACAAGTTATTGAAGCATTGAAGAATTTACGAATTTCTGCCAATTCTGATTGAGAGCACGTTTAAATAAAAAATATTTTTAATAGGTGAAATGTTGTTTCATAGATATTGCCTCATATATGATTAATTAAACAATAGTAGCCTAATATTCAAAGCTTTGAGAAAAAATAGGACCCAACAATTTTATTTTAAAAATTACATGGAGTTAACAAATATTGATCAAATGGTAGACATTCATACTTGTGGACATTTAACAACTTCCGTAAAAAAAAACACCATGCATACTTTGTTATTATCTTTAAATAACAGGTGTTGAAAAAAATACATAAAGTGAAGATATTGTAGTTACCCTAAGTTTTGTTAGGCTGACAACTAAGCCTTTATAAAAGATTAAGCAAATAATGATTAACTCTGATTTTTATATTATTTTTGTAAACTAAAATATTTAAGATTATAATATTAATAAAAAGAATTTATGTTTGTTCTCAAAGAAAGCAAAATATAAGTGTTATATGGTCATTCCACCCAACATTGTTGAATTACTGAACATAATATAGCTTCAGAAACGTCTCTAGGTGTTGTGACAGTCAAGAAACAATTTGGTATACTTACATTAATTATTATGATGGCTTCCCACTACATTTGTAATCAATTGTAATGATTCTTAGTTCAAAACATTTTGGGTGATGTAGATATTAACAAAATAAACAAAGAGCTCGCATTTAGAGCAATTTATGTCATCAACTAAGATTACTTTCAATGCTAGATTTGGTTTTGGTGTGAGATCAGTTTACTTTGGCTGCTCTTCCCTGGTTATTTTAGAAGGAGATTATCTTACTTACTTCACTTAGCAAACTTATTCCCATAGACACATTTTATTGCTACTAGAAATGAAGAATGTAATTGAGGTTATAATTGAGGCGGTCACTGCAAAAGTGGTGTAACCCACATTCAATTTTTAAATCAAATAAAATGTTATTAAATTTTTAATAATTAGTTTTTTTTATACATGAAAGGAGCATCCAAATATAAAATAATTAAGTAATTTAGTATCATTTAATTTTACTTTCTCCACGGCCAGACTAGCCGGACTTATAACCGGCTGGCAGGTTAGTGAAGAGACATCAATGTGGGATCATAAACATACAAGATTTATTCTGGGGACAGAAGTGTCTGCCAACCCACTACATTTAGGAATCCAATAGGAAGGTTCCGCAGTGGAAGGTCAAACTGCGAAACCTAAGAGAGAAAACCCTTCAATAGGGCCAAGCTAACAAAGGAATGGGAGAGCTATAGGAAGGCCCTAACCAACTTTAACAAGTATATAAGGAATGCCAAGGAAACATTGTGTAGGCGGTTTCATGAAGGTGCACATAGAGTGACCCCGACAAGTGGCTTGGGCTATCATAAGCTCATTTAAATTATATAAATCCCCAAGTGAGGACAGTGTTACTCCCATCTTGCTGCAGTAGGTGTGCTTTTGCCATTCCTGGTTAAATATAATATATGTATAAGGAGCCAGTCTTGCTTGGGGACACATACTGATACAATGGACAATTTGTAGAGTTGTTTTTATACCAAAGGTAGGCAGAAAGGACTACTCTCTTGCAAAGTTCTTTAGACCCATCTGCTCGACAGAAGAGGCTGGCCGAGGAAGAAGCATCGTTTTTGCTTAAGGCAATGGAGAAGGTACCTAATCACATTAGGCCTTTGTCCTTAATATATAGTCCTATCCTCTATTATAAGCTCAGTCCAAAACTCACAAGATGGCAGCAATGTCTACTCAATTGCAGCGACATAACTGTATTTTAGTTACTAACCTGCTTTTCAATTATTATGAATTTTGTTTTTGCAAGTGTTTGTCTGTTACTCTATTCGAAAACCGTCTGTAATATGAATACTTGATTAATGATTCATCATGACTTCCTGAAATATTATTCTATTTTGTACACTAAAAGCTGCTCTTAATAGAGAATTTTGGTTTTTGTGTGTTGAGTAATATACATATTTGATGTACTATTTTGTTATTGGTTATAAACATATTTCTGAGCAATAATTTGTTTAATATTAATACAGTGTTTTTTGTTTTTTAGGTATACCAAAGTATAAGGGCTATTCAAGGTAATTAATTTCAACTTTTTATCACAACTTCACACAAAGGGTCATTAAAAGTTTATGTGATTATTGTAAATGAAAGTATATTTTCTGAGCTTCTACTCACGTTTTAGTTTATACATTATGTTGAAAAAGTTAATTTATTTTGTAAGGAGGCAATGTATTGATGAGTATGTATTAATAAATATACATATATTAATAAAAATATACATTAATGTATTTTATATTATGAATATTTTCCTTTATTATATTCTTTGTGTTTTTATTTGTAGAAGTGTTCTGGTCAATATGCAAGGAATGTTGCCTTAAATTTGTTATCAGTAGGCAGTTGGCAAACTGTTTAATAAAGACTAATAATTTCAAGGCAAAGGTACAGATATACAAGAACAGGTGTTCTTGTACCCTTAAACAACATTTACACATGTATGTATGCTATGCAACATTAATATTTTGCACTATTGGAGTGTGCTCTCAGTGAATACATATCCATTTTAGTTTAATACCTTATTTTCCTGCGATGAATCAGTGTCACAGTACATGTTAGGGTTGGCTTACACTAGAGCTAGACCTTTGCCCACTTGCGAAAAACTTATGTCTTTTTGATGTCAAAAGTACTAGCAGGATCCAAAATAAGCTTTTCAGCTTTGTATTGTTGAATACAGATGGCGGAAGTGGATCCGGAGACGCTGCTTGAATGGCTGCTAACGGGGCAGGGCGACGAGCGCGATATGCAGCTCATCGCCCTTGAACAACTGTGCATGCTGCTGCTCATGTCTGATAATGTCGATCGGTGCTTTGAAAGGTTTGTGTATTAGCAGAGATCAGGATATCCGTTTTTTAATCAATAGTAATAGTAATCGGGTCCAAACTTCCTAATAACAAATGCAGCTGCCTTAATATGTATAGCAAATTAAAGCGCTTCCAAGAATAGTGAAGCCTTAGTGCTATATCAAAGCTGGTGGTACTATCTCCCTCTGGTTAATTATTGCAGTTCTTGTCCATTTCGTTTCTTTTGAATGTTAAAAAATAAATGTCGGTTTGTTTGAAAAAAACAAATAACGCGATTTAAATCCGGAAATTTCATTTCATTTCGTTTCATTTCCTATGTGTAACAATCGCGAAAACCTAAGAACTCGACGGTAAAAGTAGTTTAGTGTCATTGTTTACAGTATGACTGGCCATTCTCTTATCTTGGCTTGTGATTCATCTTTGTAGTTTTTTTAATTGTCATTTTGTTACCCTATAAATAAAAACCAGAATAAATAAAAACCAGATTGTTAAATTAGTAAATATCAGTTAGTTTCTAATTTTTGTGACTTTACTATCTCATGAGAAGAGCAGAATGTTCTCAATGCCAATTCTGTAACAAGTTGAAATACATGCTTCATTTAATGGAATGTGATCGATATGCGGGCTGTCGGGCCCAATATCAATTAAATGACATTGGTCAAGTAGGAGAGCTAAATTTTATGCTGGGCAACCTGTTGACGAAGAGTGCTGAAGCTCTTGTGAAGTTATATGAGATCTTTATTTCTAATGGTATTGCTCCAATACCTCTCATGGGAGTAGTGACAGATAAAGTAGGATAGTTATTTATATGTTAAACATTACGAGGCCGACATAAATGCCTGAATGTTTCAGACCTAAAATTAGATTTTTTTTTTTAATTGTGATTATCATAATTTTGCTGTTTTCATTGAAGGTTTTCATACATACATTGACTGTTGTCTTGATAATTAAAATGTCAACTGCACGAAAAAAAGTAAAATAACATACAGTTATTATGGTAATTAGAGAGTTATATAAAACTCTAAAATGTTGTTTCAGCTGCCCACCAAGAACTTTTTTGCCTGCACTCTGCAAGATTTTCCTGGATGAATGTGCACCAGATAACGTCCTAGAAGTCACAGCTAGAGCTATCACATATTATTTGGATGTTTCTGGTGAGTAAAACATAAACATGAAAACATTGTTTCCATGGACAACATTTATGAAATTATAAATTTTTTTAGTATATTCAATGTACGAAAGTAGCAATTTTAAAGGCGCTCTTTAGCTTATTTGGACATAATTGCCTTGTGATTATAATATTGTTATATGTTAAGTAAGCTGATATCTATAGTTTAAGACGAGACATTGATTATTGACAGCTGAGTGCACAAGGCGCATTGTGGCAATCGATGGCGCCGTTAAGGCTATCTGCAGCCGGCTTCTCACGGTTGACCCGAACAATCGCACTAGCAAGGATCTCGCTGAGCAGTGTATCAAAGTGAGTCATCATTTCATGCAGAATTTATAGTAGAACTCGCATACGGCAGTGTCATAACAGCTTATGTGATACCATTATCGCCAAATAACTACTTTTTACTGACAAAACTAACGGATAACTCACGGCGGACTAAAACTGTTTTCGCCGAGTCACCACTACGGAAGCTCATTATCACTGTTATCTATCAGTAGTCCGAAATATATTTTTCAGAAATAACGTTTGCTCGAATTTTCATAACCTTGAAAGTAATTTTGAGAGGAAAATGTTTTTTCTTTTAAACCTAACTTAATCTAATCTAACCAAACCTAATCGTGTTTTTGCTATAAACATCCAACATATCCTGAAAGAACAACGGTTTCGTTATAATTCGGTCTTCGGATAATTCGAAGTAAATCAGAGTAAAAAAGAAGTTCGAGTTTGTGATAGGTTACCCATTATCACGGACTGATTCGAAACGTGTCGAGCATTATATTTGACTTATATACGTGAGTTACGTTAGTTTAGTAGTAGGTTAATGCCTGAGTCTTACGGTAGTTTTCTATTTGAAACTGCTTTTTAATTATTATTGATCTTGTGTAAATGCAGGTATTGTTTGAAAATATCATTGCTTAGTTCTGAAATATTATATTATGTTGAAATTATGTAGGATATGTTTTGATTTCATGAGATAGATTTCTAGAGAAACTCAAATATATATTTCATTGATTATAATATTTATTTCATTGATTGAAGAAATATTATTTGCACCGATGAGTGTTATCTCTTGGAGTAGCTCATCCTTTCTATTACAATACAGTAATAAAACTATTAACTTTTCTTTTACTCAAAGCGTACATGGATTTAATGATATTGTATTCTAAAGATGAAGCGATAAGACGAATCATAATATTTCGCCAACTATAAGCAAAAAAACACTTGAAATCGTTATATTGATTAAATTTTGCTACTCATTCGTAAGGCAAATTCCCCTGAGACAAGTTGATTTTGTAGGTACTGGAGCTGGTATGCACTCGCGAAGCTGGTGCGGTGTGGGAAGGCGGCGGCCTGCCCGCCGTGCTGCACTTCATCACTCTCTATGGCACCTCCGTGCACAAGGACACATTGCATTCTGCCATGGCTGTGGTTTCACGGTTATTATTTTTTATTATATATTTATATATATTATATATTTTTATTTTTATTTACAACTTTATAAGTGTTATAAACTTTTTAAAATTATGTTAAAGTTGTATATGGTTTGGTCCTTTAGGAAGTCTAAAAAATATATAAAAGTTTAGAACAGAGGCTCCAGAACATGCCACATGCCATTTTTTTCTGTTCCGCATAGATCCCCGGTCTTCCTAATAAAGTTTTGAGGTTGAAGTTTTTACAAATTCATCAATTTACTTGTATTAAGACATTTGACACTGTGCTACTCACTTAGTTAAATTAATCTGTAGAATGAGAAACTTTATAAAAAAATATATATTAATTAAGTTTTATGCATTTATTTAACCGAATATAGCTAGGTAATTTATAAATATATAAAATAATTATAAAAAAGTATTTTGTAAGTATATAAGGTAATGTGGATTATTCTATTTATGGAAAGCTAAAGTTTTGGTCACTACTTACTTAAATGGGATCTACTTTCCTGAATCATAGGAGGTCGATATAAACCAGTTGGGAATCATCAGTTTAAAAGCGCAATATATCGTCAAGTGGTTAAGCAGTCCGTAATTGTCGTGCTATAAAATTATTTCTATTTACGTTTAATTTTAAATATATTGCTACTATTCTACTACTACTAAGAAAAGAGGGTTTTTATGTCCACTAAACTTGATTAATGGTATGTTTAGCATTGTTAACTAAATAATTAATATACAGAGTTTGCGGCAAAATGGAGCCAGGCGACGCAAGAGTAGGCGACGCGGTGTCATCTCTGTCAGCGCTGTTGCGGCATAGCGACGCCCGAGTTGCCGATGCCGCATTGAGGTGTTTTGCTTCCCTCGCTGACAGGTTTGCCAGGGCCCATGCTGACCCGGCTCCACTTGCTGAACATGGTAAATATTTTGTTATTTTATTTTATTTATTTATTTAGTTCAAGTCACATGACCCATGTAATATATACCTTAAGGACTAACATACATACAGTATAATAAAAACTATTTCTAACTAAGCTACACGAATTGCACTTGTCGGCGACATGTGGCGTAATATGGTGTCAGATAACCGGCTGCGGAATCGCCGATATATGACACCCTTCGACCAAAACTCTTCCTTCATGAAGGTCGGCAGATGTTCGGTCGGCACTCTCACCACAAATGAATTAAAATACGCGTTGTGGCGGGACTCCATCGAGTATATAGCCAGAAATAGAGACGAAATGTCATTTAATTTGTTTGAAACTATTCTGCCACATCATTACTGTGATAACTGCGCTCCGATTGTCTAGCCCGAGTTCGAAACAATTGACGGGTGTCGTCAACTGTTTCACTTCAAATCAACCAGTTAACTTGAGCTTTGCTATAATGGACGAAAATTGCTAAATTACATATTTAATATTTAATTACCTATGAAATGTGATCCCGTTTGTTTTGTAATTAGATGTTTTGCTGTTTTTCCGACATCACCGAATAGAACAGCACGACATTGTTAGAGATATTATCTTTATTACAATAAATACAGAATATTTTTTGGAATATACGGGTCACCGGTCAGTAGTTGGTCTGTCTATATTTCAGTGCAAACGAGAGTTGATATTTATAAGAGCTGTATCGCTAATGTGTTACCAGGAATATATGGCCCTTATTTCGTCTCTATTTCTGGTTATATACTCGATGCGGGACTCCAACCGCTCGACCCTCAGGGTGTGTTTGGCTTTATGTCTGATGTACTATCTATTCAGACTCCGTGAAGTAATGTAGTCGTGACAGGTACAGCAGTAATGCAGTCGTGAATATAACAAACCTCGAAACACGTTTACAATTAGCCAGTAACATTGATGATATCATTAGCACTGTTGTCTTATGCTAGGATTCTAGTTTCGTGTTCGCAAAATATTCTCCAAAAACCAATAAATATCTAGCCTAGCCTAGCTTGAATTAAATTTTAAGTTATCGCAGTCCATCGTTTGCATGTGAAATAATTCTTTTAATTCTTGTTATTAATAAGGATATCAAAATGTGTGATGCCGTCTGTATAAGTACTTTTTATGGTAATCCGAATGAAATAAATGAGTGAATGACTATATTTCACTCTTCAGTTAGACTTCAACCCGTGTGATTTGTTACATTTATAAAAATTCTAAAGTTTGAATGTAACAAAAACTAAAATTTTTAGTTGAGGTCAGGATTTCGTATTCTCTTTTTTGTTAAACAAGTTGGCTTATATCATATATTTTTTCACAGGTCTTATTGAAGAGCTGGTCCGGCGGTTAGGAAGTACGGAAAGTAGCGACGACAAATGCTTAGCGCCTTCTGTCTCCACTACGGTCAGTCTACTGTCTACTTTGTGCCGAGGGTCGGCACAGATCACACATGTAAGTTTTGCATTAATTTACCCATTGCGGGTTGGGGACTTGACGTTCTTCAACGTGCAGGTTTCATCACGATATCTTCTCTCACCGTTAAGGCCCATTTAGATGGAGAGAGTTATCGCACGATTAATGGCGAAAAATCGTACGCGACTATCGCAAGCAATAATCGCCATAAGATTATCGTATCACAATGTTTACATACAGGCAAGAACTGAAATCTCGCCTACGATTATGTCATAATACGCAATTCGCAAACAACTTAATCACCTCCTCTATTGTTTACGCAGAGAAATATATAGCAAAGAGATTCTTGCTTACGAGTTCTCGCTTTGCCTAAACTCGATTTCGTATGACATTTATTCAAGTTCATACGATTATCGTACAAATCGGTTCGAACCGTTTTGAGTGCGAGAATTGCCATTCGAGTTTAGTGATTACTATTACTGTGTTTTTTGTTTTGTTTGTTAATTATTATTTTTAAAATTTTGTTTTCCTTATTTGTGTTATAATTTTTGTGGCGTTGCAATAAATGTCTATTCTATTCTAAATAATTAAGATTTGAAAAAACCGCTTATTGTGGGTTGTAGATCTCATTTCCCTGGTTCCAGTTATGTTAATAACTCAATTTCGCTAAAAACGGCGATTACATTAGTTATGGTAAGGATTCTATCCGAATTACACTTTGACCGCCCCATGACTACTTTGAGCATTTTTTTGCTATTCCTTGTTGTTTCGGATGTGGCCATTAACGCCCAGTTGAGTAACATATTAATGAGGTGTCTAAATGTTTCTAGGATTTAGTTCGTCTGGAATTGTGTTCGGCGATCGAGGCGGCGGTCCAGGCTGACGAGCGTTGGTGCTTAGAGTGTATGCGCCTCGTCGACCTTTTGCTCGTACTGCTTTGTGAGGGTCGACATGCTATACAGACGTAAGTATCAATCACGGATGTACCTCACACCGGTTTGGGTTTTGTTATGGACACATTTAGGTGAAGAATTGGAGAAAAAAAGTTTCATTTACAACCTTCGTGGATTTTACATATTTCAAAAACTGCCTAATGAGTAATTAATTTCCTGTCTTGGGTTTACAACAAAGTAAGCAACAAAATAAGTTATGGAAACTTTTGATGTAAAAGAAGTACTTTTTTCATCTAACAAACCAATTACACTGAGTTCTAAGTTATAATCAAACTTAATCTAATCTTAGAATACAATATATAGTAGGTATGTAGCGTAGTTAGCTATGTCTGGTCGTTACGCTCGTTTTTCTTAGGTAAACGCTGTCGCGACGGCTTATCAAGCCAGACGAAGCTGATAGAGGAGAGTTTATTACCCTTAACACGCGTACATGTTCGTGACAACCCAAGCAGCACACCCATATCTAAATATATACTATAAGACATCTAATAGAATTTAATTCGATTGAATATTTTAAGAGTTCAAATTCCCTCAAGATATCTCAAAGAAGGTTTCTAGATAATTTAAAGTAAAAGTGGGCACAACTTTATTAATAGATCACAAGAGTGCTTTGAGAAACTATCTGTAGGTAGTGTTAAGAGTCATTCTTATCTTTTTTCTGAAGTAACCCTTCTAGAATGCTACAAGACCATTTGTAGAATGTAGACAGTTTTTATTTAGTCTTGTAGATAGTTTTTAGATAATTTATAGTCTATGATAGTTTTCTTAGTAATGCTATTTTAAAACCAAAATACTAAAGCGTTACAAACATAGGACGCAATTCTCTTAATACTAATAGACTTCATGTTTAATGGCTTACAAAATATAAACTATCAAAATTGCAACATGGCGAAATTAGATATAATATTTCTGACTTTTTCGCGCAATGTTTAATCGGTTGGAAAGCGCAAATTGACGTGCGACTTTAAATACATTGTGAAAAGTGATGTAAAACCTGTCATAAAAGTAATGCGCTCGCTAAATTTTAAATATTTAAGTATAAAATATAAACTTAATAAAAATACAGTTATCGATTTTCGGTTTTAAATATTTATAGAAAGCTTAAATATACAAAATAACTCACAAAACAAACCATTTCCAAGAAGTTCTAGGCTTTTTCAACTTAGATTTACTTTTTAAAAAGAAAATAAATTTTTCTCGGCTACTTCATAGTCATTCTTTAAAAATAAAAATGGCGATAAGAACTTAAAGCTTTTTTCAAAACACTTTTTTCTATAGCTTTCTCTATAGAAAAACTTTAGAATACAAAAAGATTATTTTTACTTGCTTTTGGTTTACTTGACCTTGTAGAAGAACTTACACTCCTATGAAGTTTTTATGATTGTCTACGAAACGCGATGTTTCTAAGCGATTTTTTCTTTTGACAGTATTACAAAACCTTTATAAATATTAAGCGCATTATGCAATAAAAAACTTTTCAAAACACTAGGTCAAAAAAACAATTGAAAAAATCAAATTTGTCGCAAAAAAACGTTATTCTGTATAATTATATGGAATGTGTTATATATGACTAGAAAGGTGGATAAACTCCCTATCATATAAATATAAGGAATATTTTAATGACATACCTAACTTATGTTGGAAGAAATAAAATTTTCATTATAAATTTGAGGTTATTTCTTTACGCCAACCACATTTCACACAATGATTTCACTGTATTCCATTGATAGACGGCACAATACACATTCACAACATTGAAGTACAGTAGTTTACGCGCTCATTTCAATTGTTTTTATCATTTCACAACACGGAATTACTTCACAATGTTTATTTATTTGTCAACAAACAAATGCCGGCCATGACCGGCCCGAGCGCGAATTACGTATCCAGCGTTGCCAATTTGTAGGGAATTCCCCTTCTAGTGAAAAGTACTTGAACACAGGTATAATGGAGTAGCCTTTATTATTTATAAATAAATTTTATATGTAAATGTTGAATTTTATACAATGCCATTAATTACGAGTTAGGGTGTCTGATGTTTTTTTTCTTGAGTTTCGAGAATACTCGCACCCGATTTCTCGAGTTATTCGAGATTTTTTTTAAAAACCGTAAAAAATCAGCTCAATCAACTATAAAATTAAATGTGAACTTTTCGAAAGTTGTTTTGGCCTGGGTGTTCTGAGTTGTGCTCCGAAATAAATTCCATCGTTCTTGGTCCCAGGTTCGATTCCCGGTAGAACCAATTTGGGAAATGAACTTTTGTAAATTGGTTCTGCTCTGGGATTCTGTTGTTCTGATACTCATGGGGAGTATGTACAGAGAATTCCCTAGTTTCAGACCAGGTGATTGTCTTACAATAGAATACCAACACCAGAACCATTTAGAAAAGTTAATTTGTTAAATTGATCCTACCGGTATCGAACCCGGGAACTTCTCATCCAGTGCCCACAGTGCAAACCGTTAGGCTATCAAGGTTGTACTATTTGTATTATTATGCATTGTTTGCATGTGAAAGCTACAAATTGCTTAAACTTTAAAAAAAATCCTATTTAATTTGCAGTGTCAGTCTGCTTCAATTACCTTCTTTGTTTCTTAAGTTGGTATATTTTGTCATTCATCCACTTTTGATTTTTTTTAATGCATTTTGGCGGTGTAAGATGTTCTCTTTAATACTTGTCACTTTCTCCTTAAGTTCAAGCTATGTTTACTGGATAAATTCCTGCATTCTCTCCTTTCTATGCACAGTTCACTCATTGATGTAATCACATACCAAAGCTTTAATATAAGTTTAATAAAATTTAATATAATGCCTAGGCACCAAAAAAATGTTGGCAAAGCTGTTTTTAATTATTAATACAAAGATCGAACACTCAGAAAAAACACTCAGAAAAAATTCCTTCGATCCGACCGGATCGAAGGAATCACAGAAAAATTAGGACATTAGGAAATTAGGAATTTCAGAAGGAATTTTTTCTGTGTGTTTTTTCTGAGTGTTCGATCTTTGTATTAATAATTATAACAAACTAGTGGAGTAATTTCACAAAAAATCATTGAATATCAATTCAATAAAAAATTAATTAAAGCTGTTTTTTTAATTTTCGTAAGCCTTTGCTGGTTATGTACATATCCGATTGTCTGAAATGAGCCGAGCAAACAAATTTGTATATTTTCAGGATAAAATGTTCTTCTCGTCGCGATTCAGCTATTATATTTCTCCATAGTGAGCAAAGTATAGCTAAATATATCTCGAGGAAAACTGAAACAAATACATTTATTATGCCATGCCATGAGAAATGTACCGATGTTTAGATTTTTTTTAATTCAAATTTAACGTAAAGCCAAACTTTGATAATCCTGAAAACCGATTAATAATAAAACCGTCATGCTTTAGGGAGTTTTGGATGCTTATTACAAAGAAAAGACTAAGTTAGCTTAGGTTTGTTTTGTAATATTCTAAAAAAAAAACCTAAAAAAATACTTTCGGGATTATGGAAATTCATGCAAACGTTATTTCGGGCAAATGTATTTTCGGTCTTCTGATTCGTAACCCCAAGCCGTAGAAAGAGTACAACAATATTTGAAAGTATTACTAACATGTATTAAAAAATATTTTAATAATAACATTAGCATCAAAGCGACTCTATGAAATTTTTGTTCTAAACATTTCAAACGCTTGTGTTTGAAACAATTGAAATTGACGTGTTGGGTCTCATTCAGTCTTTTACGCAAGCTATGAGTCGGAAAGAGACAGTTAGCTATTTGATTATTTTGATTGCTTTTGTAATTTATATTTACAATTAATTTACGTATAAATTAAATACTATATATATACTAGTGCATAAAATAACACTTAAATGATAACTATGATAACACAATGTAGTACTTACTGAAAATATTTTTACTGCCTCCGTGGCCGAACGGTTACCATGCCGGACTGCCATGCAGAGGTCCCAGGTTCAATTCCCGGGTCGGGAGAAATATTTGTATGGCCTACATTTATTTCTCTCGTGAGTTTGGATGTAATTTGTGGTTGTCTACGTGTGTGTCCATGGCACCCGCGACACAAGGTTTCCCTAGTGCCAGTGTTGGGCAAAATTTAATTGTTCTGGCAATTAAAGATTGACAATTGTTTAATTGTCAATTGCGAAACAGCAGCAGGTTAGGGGACCGGTTGGGAGGCCCGGTTGGGGGCCCAGTTGGGGGGCCGGTTGGGGGCTCGGT